GCCCGAATGACGTGCCACTTAGAGACTCACATGCACTCTGGTCTGCTCCATAACTAAATAGGCATTAAGGAAAATATTATACACTAATTAGGCTCAAAATCTGAAGTGGCGTTCGTTGGAGTTTATTGCTTAAAACCTAGACTATATTCCGAAATAAAAAAATATATGCAAAAATAAAAAATAAAAAGTGTAATTAATTAAAATCTAATTCGACGACAAAAAAGAATAAAAGTGATTTTTAAATTAAATTCATTTGTAATAATGGATAAAACGCTGAGTACAAGTAACAATTGTTCAATTTTATCCAGCCGATAACAAATAAATTCTGTGGTTCATAGAACTCTACTCTCGTTGGTCACGCCTGATTACTAAAATATACTTATTCGTTACCAGTCAAGGGTCTCTGATTCGCTACACTCACCATTCGAACAGCAGAATTATGCTGTTATATTTACGTTGGGGTTTTGTGAGAGGAACCCTAATACAGCTGCAGAGTGGCTCTCCCACGTGGCTCTACCACGCTCTATCACATACTCGACAGTAAAACAAGCGATGCTCGCAGAAATTATTTTTACGCATTTATTTGTATATAATAGGAATACAGGCCACCTGATAATAGATGAGTGCTGTGGTCCATAGACATTTACATCTATCCTCTATAAATAATCAAAATGTATGGGTGGTCCCCCTAAGGGCTAAGATGGAATGCCTCGTTTCCAGTAAAAGGGTCTCCGGTTTTTTACACTCACCATACGAAACACAGCAACATCAAGCTGGTATTTTACGCTGGTATTGTGAGAGCGTGGTCATCCCCCCCTCAAGTCAACCATACGTGCTACAATTATAATATAGCTGCAGTGTGGCTCTACCACGTATAAAAATGGTGGAACGAACTTGCCATTTTTCTTCAGTACTGTTCCTAAATAGTCTGTCTGATAGTTATTGATAGTTGTAGGGTAGGCCCAGTGGCGGATTATTACAGGCAAAGGTTACAAAGGGGCGTGCGCGGAAGTTATTAAACGAAAAAAAAGTAAGTACATACCTACTTACAATAAAATAAAAAATTATACTTTCTATAGAGATGTAGAGCTTCCAAAGCGCGCCCTGTCTATTTGATTACTCCTACATCGCCCTCACTCTCTTATCATGTTTTTCATTCACTCCTACCTTATGTTATGTCCTTATTATTTTGCAACTAAACTATATCATAAATTATAATATAGTTTATTTGTAAAATAAGTAGTTATAACAATATATGGCCCACGGCGGGGCGCCTATGAGGTGCTAGCCTAGGGCGCTGTCGACATTTTATCTGTCTCTAGGTAGGCCTTAACCATTGGTACTATCTCAGACTAGCACTACCAATACCTGTTTATACATTATTCTTAAACTGACCCTTTTTTCTAAAAGGTTGGCATTATTTTTGCCGTTATGCTGTATATATATTTTTAAATTATATGGGCATAATTAAGTTTCATTTGTATTTGTATTGACGAGCTGATCGCTACTGTTGTTTCTAAATGTTATCATATTTAATTGTACAACATAATATTGTATTGTGAATTATTGTTTAAAAAAACAATCTCGCTGGCTTTCTTGCAGGTTCTAATCAGGACAGATGTTTTTCCGAACCAGAGGTAAAAGCATTAATGACTTTCATTAAGAATTCGTGTAATCAATAAGAATATAAATTATTGTATTCTATTCTAGTACGTATGTCATCAATGTAACATATATAGAGATCCAGAGATGACAGATTATGTATAAACATGGTGTATATTTACTTTTCATTCTAATGTGAACATAATGTTATGTTAGAATACGCTTTAGATCATTATAACTATGTAATTATAGCCGTAATGGCTTTCAAACTGCAAATTGGTTGCATTTTACAATTTTCATATTGTTATTAAAAGCTGTGTTGTTAGCGTATACTAGTCTGTAGCTCAAACATTAACTTCATTAGTGCAATTTATCAAATAATTAATGTAATCATTTCCTTTTCTAAAATAAAAATAAAATCAGAAAGGGATTCATTGTCTTTACTGAAATTTTTACTGGTGTTACCTCATAACTTTTTACTGGGTGAACCGATTACGATGATTCTTTTTTTATTAGAAAACCAGTACTTCTCGTGTGATCCCATATGAATTTGATCAAGGTCAGACCATTAGTTTTTGAGTTATTCTTAATAACTTATATTGAAGTCTGCTGTACAAAATTTTTAATTTTAAATTATTCTATATTATTTTATGTTACTGAGTCAAATATAAAATTATTTTCAGAAATCTTTGTTAACCAAGTAGCTTCTTACATCACATTTTAAACCCCAGAAGAAATAATTAAAAGAAATGAGTACTTATTTATAATAATATGTACTATGTATGAACTGACTTATAGATTATTTAGATTCCCTATAGCTCTTTTAATCGATTCTACATACTTACTTACTTATTTGAGAGTATCATCTGCTTGAAAAAATTTCATAGATGGAAACAAAAAGATACCTATAATAAAGTTGACAAGACCTTCTTTATAATGCTATAAATCCTTAACAAACACTTCATAAGAAGTGAGCAAAACTTTTAATTCTTTAACAAACGTTTACCCATCTTATAATGCTGAGTAAAAAAAGTAAGGTTATAGCCTAAAACGCCTCACACCTGGGCACAGGTCTTCTGAAAGTGTAACAGAGCAATTAGCCCGCGTTGTTTCAGTGTGTTCACTATTAAAAACATAGTAAAAGTTACAGATAACGAAATCATTAGTGCCGGCGGGGATCGAACCGTAGTCACAGAATAAATAGTACTAAACCGTAGTTGTTGGCGAACTATGAAAATATATACGTGGTAGAGCCAGCAGTTATAATTGCAGTGCAGCTATAATTATGGTCCGGCTAGAACCCCCGTTCTAGCCGGACTGCGCTCTCACAGAATACTAGCGTAAAATAGCAGCTTAACACTGCTGTGTTTCGTATGGTGAGTGTAGAGAACCGGAGACCATTTTTATTGGAAAAGAGGCATTCCATTTTAGTCCTCAAAGGTGACAACGCATCTGCATTTTGATTCGCAAACGAGGATAGATGTAGATGTCTATGGGCCACAGTAACCACTTACCATCAGGTGGACTGTGTGCTCGTTTGTCACCCTTATTCTATGAAAAAAAAAGGCCTTATGGCTTCCGATAGATGACACTATAATAAAAAATAAACAAACCGGCTCAAACGAATATATGTAGCTGCAGCATGGCTCTAGCACGGATAAAAACCTTTTTGGCAAGTTCCATAGTTGCTCCTTAACTTAACCCATTAACGATATATAATGATGGATTAACTGTTGGGCTAGTGAGGCTTAAATAATATATCTAAATTCCTCTTCTAAATTGGAGATGGTAGTATCATAACATCGCACCATACTACTCCGATAGTTCTTTTAAATTTAGCAGCCAATGAGAGGCCACTATTTCTTGAAGATATTGTGATTAAATGCAATAATGGATTTAACATGCCATCACCACGTTACAGTTGAAAAGGATAAAATGGATTAAATTAAAAAAAAAAATAACACACTTTTAATAGTTTCGCTTTTATTGGGTATGAGGAACCTTTCTGGTCAACATAAGCTACATGGACATTCTTTGTTTACTAGTATATTTACAGTTTTCAGAATCATATATAATTAATTATTCATATCTAGTTACTAGGGTAATGCTTTTAGGTGTATATTACTGTATATTCACAATAATTACGAGAACCTAACGAAACATCTGTACACGTACGCGGTTGCGTTGTACAAAATACTACACTAGTCACACAATAGTCGCTGGGACATAACTTGGACTCCGGAACCCACTCGTCATGTCCCTGCCAGCAGCGATTCTATACAATCAGTCACCAGCCACTTTGTTCTTTAATTTATAGATTAACAACGAAGCAAGTTTAAAATACAGCAAATATACTTATAGTTCTGTTAGATATATCTCTTCATATGATAACTGCAATCCTACTTACTCGGAACACTCCAGCGGTTTCTATAATCACATTCTTTTATATTTACATCCTTCTATCTCACAATTCTATTACAACTTGTACTATATACAAACAATTTATATTCATTTAAAAAAAATACAGTGTTAAACTGCTATAACCTCTCTATTATCGATACATAGGGCTGGAATAAAAATAGTTTTTTTTTTCTTTAATATTAGCGTGTACTAAAGCCAGCGATCGCAAGAGGCCGCCTCTCGCGACGATTACGATATAAACGTTTTATTAGTGTTCTACAAACATCAAAGTCAGGTCATATCACTTCAAACATTTATTATATATATTTGTAATAATTATACTAAACATTACAAACTAAACGAAACTCCACACGTTACAATCAACAGATCATTATAATCGGGCTGGTGAGGAACAAACTCTTGTAAAATTTGTTAGCACGGTAACACTTGATAAATAACTTAAAATTATTACAAAATATAGTCAATAAATTAACAGTCATTGTTCAATGCGTAGGAATAATCGACTATTTCATTACATTATTACAAACACACGTCCTTACAGATATCTTAAATGGAATACATTACTTGGATAGCGACATCTAACTTTAAACCGAATAAAAATATAGACGTTACATTGAAACACTAAAAAAGGCTCGTCGCCGAGTTGCATAGCAAAAGCATGGCAGTTAGCACAAAGTTCTGCACCCTAGAGATTAAATAACAGAAAAATATATTCTACGAGTCCAGGCCTGGTATATGAGCGCGGGGCTCGGAGCGTCGCGGCGGCATTCAGCGGCCGGTCGGCAAGAGATGTGCCAGTCGCGCCGTACGCTAGTGATGCTAGCCGTACGCACGACAGCTCATCGGAATCGATAGGCGTGTCACGCTGCGTCCCTCGGCACTCGACCGGCTTCGCGGTCGTTCCCTGCTAACCTACGATATAACATAGCACAGCCATCGTACTTTCCTCGGGTCGAGCGAGGGAATGGCGGCGGCGCCTACGAGACGGGCGGCTGCGGGCCCTGAGGCTGCGGCGGCGGCTTCACGCCGGCGGCAGGCAGCTGCGCGAGCGTATCCTGGCTGGCGTGTGCCCGTAGGTACGTATTCTCTACCTCCAGCTGGTTGATCCTCTCCATCAGTTCGGCGATACGCTCTTTAAGCACTTCCACTTCCTCGCGCACCGCGAACATCAAGTGGCTCTTAACCAAATCCTGAAACAAAGAACAATTGGTCCATTAGCGCGATTTTAATAAAACAAAGACCGTATACACGATGTTTTTTTCGGCGCTTGATCGAAACACAGTAAACCGGTTTTGAGATACATTTCCGTCCACGAGAGTTTCAAATTTAAAAATAAGAACATTTAAACATTCTAAAGTATTTATTAAATTCAGATAAGAATAATAAAATTCACGTAAATGAGATATCGAAAATATTAACGATTATGTAAAGAAAAACGATTTTATGTAACTTAACAAAATATTTTATAGAAAAATGTACGTAAACAAAACAACGTAAACCTACTTCTGGATTAGGCACGACCACGTAACAGGTATCTTTGGCCCCCTTCCTAGTGATTTCGTACAAACATCCATCTTTGGGCTGAACAACGTCAATCATGTTTTAGTGGGTGCACTTGAGTTTCGGGATCACTGAACGCGTACGCAACGGAGGGCGGCTTGAATTAGACTGAATAATTTTATAAAAATTATACTGCAAGAGACCTGCGCTTACGCGTTTTACCGGGCGACTGATAGTCTGATCGTGCGCTCGCCCTATTTAAGATGGCGGCACACACGTCACCGCCACGCGAGCCGTCCGTGCACCCTGAACTCTACAACTCTGCATATCGACAAAAACAAAGCTCTTGTTTGCTTCATACGCGACATTTGCGAAAAGAATGTACAACCTACATACAATTTGTTTTTGAGTACGTTTTAACATTTATCTGGCCTTCCGCATAATACATAAAAAAGTAAAACCATGTTATATTCCGTTATTAAAATTTCTGATTTGGAAAAGAATGAAAAAAATATTAACATAAATAGACTTACTAACTATAATCTTAATGATGCTTTATTATCAGCACCTCTGGTGGCAGGATTGAATAAATAGTTACAAATTATGATCGTGAATGATGAGATAAAAATATAAGAAACAAAACATTATTTTATGACGGGAACTGTGATGTAAGCTAATTTTCTTGCAATGGTTCATGTTGGTACCTATATGGAACAAATATGTATATTCTTTGCCGGAGCAAATTCATATATTTACAAGCGCGTTATGGAAAATTATAAAAACATGTATTACAGAAAAGTTTACTAAATCATTCAAGCTTCGAAAAGTTTCGGGAACTAAAGACCGCTTGACAGTGTAAGATACGAAGTGTACAATTTACAGCCAACAATTAAGCTTCATTAGAATCTATTTTCGCTCATAATAAAGGCAGGCGAGCGTTCGACTAGAACAAAAACAAAAAAGGAGCAATTAATTGGTAGTAGTTACATAATACAACTAATTGAAACACATAAACACAATGATATAATTACTCGCTTAAAGACTGAAAATAGTACATTACAAAGATAATGATCTAATGTCAAGATAATGATAAATGGGAATGCGGATAGCGATTAAATATATGGAAAAATATAAATTATGTCAGCTTTACAGATGAATATTGAAGCAATTTGCAAGCAAGCAAAAATGCGTCATACGCATATTTGTACAACGATTTTCTTTGTTTCTTTTTATGTATAAGAAAATAAAAATAAATATCAAGACTTAAAATCCAGACTAAGTACAGTCATTAAGGAAAATGAGAATAAGCTAAATTTTTTGTGATATAATTAGAACCTTCCAAAAATAAGAGTCAAAAGATCATTTGAACGTGGGTGTTGCGACCTTCAATCTGATGCGATTGGATCCAGCGTTCACTCGTCAATAGTGAATCTCATCAGTTATAACGGCATAAATCATTACAACGCAGACGGTCTTGAAAATTGGTATCGGCAATAATGAGCATAATAATTTGAAAACTAAAAAAACGAAACTTCTATTTGCACATACAGGAAGATAATAATGATGAACGTTATAATTCCTAAAACAAACGATCATAAATTATGATATTTATCAAGTCAACTAACGTATACATGTTAGTAGGTAAGTCTGAATATCAGTAAGAGTACGAAAGTTATGCCATGAGGCCGAGATAAGATGCGCAGGATGATATCGCTGATACAAAAAAGGCGAAGCTACAGCATCAGCGGTGGGAAAGTGATCGGAATCAGTGCAATGTTCTCATCAAGAGTGCAGTGAACTTTTTTCGCAGTCACGCACTAAATACAGAGGGCGATGATATAATGAGTCCAAGGGCGTATGATAAAACCAGTCACGTTGTTTTAAACGACAGTTGCACAGAGCCGGCAGCCAATACTTTGCTTGCGACTACAGATTTATGAAATTGCGTATCGAATTTATAAGCCACTGTTTTGTTGGATTCTTCACGAATAAAATCGTCATTAGGGACCAGAACAAAGAATAAAGGTTTTAACTTAGGATTAATGCAAAAGGTGAGATAAACATAAGGATCTGTAGAAAATCAAAAGGTAAATATAAATTCTCATAGATATCCGCTTAGTAACTGGTATAGGAAAGAACAAACAAATATTATCGGTATTATCATATAATTTCTTTCATTGTCCATTTCAAAAACATAAACGCTATCTGAAATGTACATATCGATGACAAAGCAACAACATTTTCAATAATAGAATAAATTTGCTTAAATGCGCAATTGAAAAATGTATTACTGGTAGCCGCGTAAGATTCATGTTTATATGACATCATCGTTATATCAAGTAGCTGTTTGTTTTACTGAAGTATACAAAAGTTAGGATATGAAACATTGTCGCTATTTAATGTTATGTATGAGTAAAATTAATTTCAATAAATTAGAAGAAATGAATAAGTACGTTATGGTACTTGCTTTACCTTTATCAATTTCCACAGCGCTAATGTTTTGAAGGTGTATTTATTATTGAATAATTTTCAAACACAAGTTTGGCATACCATATAAGATAAAAATTTAATTTTATAGCCACTACCCATATCCCGAGTGTCGTAAGAGGCGACAGAGGAAAACTGAAACAAGAGATGGGCAGGAGCATATTCTTGATAACGACTATAAATAAATAATAAAAAACTGCGTTTGCCAATCGGCTAGCCAAGCGTGGCAACTATGGCAACCTTTCTGCATGAGGCAATCTATGAAAGAGGCAGTTCAAGTTCAGCAGTGGACTTTTATAAGCTGTAATGAATTGATGGAGTTGAAAATCGAAAACTAAATTATTTTATAATAAAATGATTACGAATATTAAATATATTATTCCGGCATAAACAATCAATCTGAAACTGGACGGAACAGAATGTGGAACTATTTGAAGGCATGTGTTCAAACACCGCTGTAACAACTTACTCGCTAAAGTTTTTATTATTAAATAGTGCACAATGTTTACGCAGTTGGAAACAAAGGTGCTCGATCTATTAATATTCGTGACACAATTTAATTGTTATGCCGCATGGTACACGAAAGTGTTTTTTTGCGCTGTAGTCCTAATTACTACGATATGTACTAATATCGTGTTAGAAAACATTTAACATGCTCCAACAATTAAATTGTACGACTGAGGTTTATTACCTACCACCAAAATATTGACATTTTATCTTTGACATTAACACTGTTAATATAAATTAGAAAGGCGTAGAGTAGCAAATTACGTAACAATAAAAAAATTACTAAAATTAAAAAGTTCAAAATACCGCGAAACAAAAAGAGCTGATGATCTTCAAATGGCTGAACAGATTTTTCATGAAACATAGTTAAAACACTCTTGATTAAGACATCATAAACAAAAAAAAAAGATTTTGAAAAGTACCGATTTTGACTAAGTTTTTTTAGGAGCTATGATGCCACAGACAGACACAGATACACACTACAAACATATAACACCCCTCTGTTTACGTCGTGAGTAAAAATTATGCTAAACTATTAATGTTACGAAAAAATAATTTATTATATCTCCTTAAATTACAGAGCACGCACGTAGAAATAAAAGACATTAGCAATGAAGTACAAACATTGATTAAGTATACCATAGTATAGCATTAACATACATATTTACTGATTACACACCGCAATTTTGTATACGCTTCTTAACTTTGAAAGCAATATCAAGAAATATATGAAAATCGATCAATATATTTGATAAATCAAATATATTTAACGTACAGTATTTTTCCGTCCTTGAATTGATTATCGATATTGAGTAAACAGTTTTACTCGTGCAAACACTAAATAAACATCTTATCTGTACGTTTTTATCGATCTATCTATTATTTATTACTACCTATAAAAGTCAACTGCTGAACATGAGGCAGTTGATTTTATACCCCCATAGATTGCCTCATAGGGGGGATTTTCCCATAGTAGCCACGCTTGGCAGGCGGTTAGGCAACCGCAATTTTTTATAATTTTGAGTTGTTATCAAGAACATGCTGTTACTATATTAACGTTTGTACGTTATTATATTAACGTATCTTAATTTTGCATAGTTGCTGACTACGCTAAAATTATAACAATTCTCAAAGACATGGTAAATGATCAATGTTCGTGTCGACTTATCTTCTAAACGTTTCTAGTGATTCTTTGTAAATGTCGTGCCATTGGTATCCGTTCTTATTTGCTAATTAATGGACAAAATATCTTGATTAGTACAGTGTCACTTCGCGTGACCCCAGTGAACTGTCCTTTTCTCGTTCATGTTTCCATTTGCACTGCAATCAGGAGCACGTGTCTGCGTTTCAGTGGCACATTGGGGCCAGCTTTCCTTCCGTGTCTATTCTAAGCAGCCCGGTCGGGTCACGTCTGACTCATGCAAATCAAGCGTACAATGAGGGAATTAGCATATCTACTGGGGCGCTTGGCTTAGCCGTGAAGCAAATTAATTCTGCAGCTATACGCACTTCATTTCAGAACCAGTTTATAAACCGCGCGTTAACACCCTTTCAAAAATAATACAATATGCTAGTCGATATCTCTAATATGAGTTAATATGATTACAAAATGCTTATGCCGATATTCATAGACAATCTCAAATTTCTTCTGAGTTTCATTTTTCGTATTCCCTTGATCAAAGACATCTATGTAGGG